GCACGCTACAAGCTGCATCGTCTGTCAAGGGAGAAAGGATTACCCTGCCTCTCTTGGGGAGACTCGTGCCCATGTTGTGTGAACAACTCTGCACGAGCACCTAAGGAGGCTTACCTCCTTACCAGCCCGTGGTGGCGCGTACGTGTCTCTACTGAGATGTACGAAGGGATTGACAATCTGAAATCCCTTTACGACCGTGCCGGGAAGACTTTCTCCGGCGGTCCTTCTGCGGCACAGGATGTGCCGCGTCGTACTGCTCAACCAGACCCAGTACGTCGATCATCAGTTGGGAGCGGGGCTCCCAAGAATCCCAGGACGGGGGATAGCCGCGCCACCGGACGAGATAACTCGTCCGACGTCCGTTCACGTCGCGGTGGTTCAACAGCTGCTCAACTAGATAGCGCTGGCCACCGCGAGAGTCCTCTAATGGAGGTGGAGGAGGAGGAAAGACGCTCTCCACACGATCATGTGGATCGGTGTGTTCCCGAGAGCTTCTTTGATCGCGTAACGCAAGGGTTACGCGGCGATCTCGAACATGAGCGGAATAGGCGTCTCCAACTGGCGGACACTGCCTCGAAGCATCGAGCTAAGTTTGCCTTTGCTCAGCTTGAGAACGAGAGATCTCTGACATCTCTTCGTGACGAGCTAAGGGTAGCTCGTGGGATTGCTGATCGGTCTCGGGATGAGATAGCTGCTCTTCAGACCCTTGTTGATGCCCACCATCGGGAGCACAAGGCTCTCTGCGAGATGCTTGAGCGCAAGGGCGTTCTTCATCGGAAGAAGCAGCGTACTGATGGTACGGCTTAAGCCGACCAACGTAAAACGTGGAATGCGTTCGCATCTTACGTGGTAATTCGATCGTGTATGCATTGCCTAGGCGGTGCAATACACGAAAAGGGCCGATGTACTTGGGTAGTAGTTTACTGCTACCCAAGTTAGTCACTACATGCTTTGGTAGATTAACCGTAGACAGTAGGACTAAGTCACCTTTATTAGATAAAAGAGTGTTTGCCCTTCCATTCTTATCTGCGTTTTGCTTTTGCTTATCCACCGCTTCGGCGATGGAGTCTTGCACAAAACGGACTACCGTTTCACGAGCCAGTATGAACTTATCTGGTGACTCGTTAGCTTCAGTGCGCTGTGAGCGCACTGCAGCAACATCAACCTTTTCTTCAGTGAGGGCTTCCGCACTCTCACTGGCATCATCTTCTTCGATATCGATGTTATCGATATCGGCATCAAACGCAATGACTTCTTCGTCAGAGCGTGATGAGCGTGAACCAATTCGGTTTTTGCTCGCGCGAGTCCCTCCCCCCCTTAAACCAGAGTTACACTCTAGTAGGGTGGGTACACGCGGATGGCGCAAGCCATTCACGTAAAACGGTGTATGTGTCGTGGACGCATGCACCGAGTTGTTGATGGCAAACTCTACCATTGGCAAAAACTCACTCCAACTCTTAAAGGAGTGTACGTATCCTCGAAGTATTTCTTCGAGGATACGTTTGGCACGTTCCGTCTGACCATCTGACTCTGGATGATCAGATGTTGACATCTTCAAGCGCGTTCCGAGTGATTTGAACACGGAACGCCAGAAATCAGCAGTGAAGCGTGGATCTCTGCCTGATACGAGTTCACGGGGCAACCCATGAAGTCGGAAGATGGTGTCAATAAAGACACAAGCACAGCTACTTGCCGTGATTGTCTCTGGTACAGCCACAAGGTGTACCATTTTGCTGAATCTGTCAACAAATACGAGAATACCCGTATTCCCGCGTGCGTCTTTGGGTAACCCGAAGACGAAATCCATTGAGATGGATTCCCAGCACTCAGCCGGAACCGGTAGAGGCTGTAAAGGTGCACGCAGTGAAGGACTTGACTTCACTCGTTGACAGACTTCGCATGCACGAACATACTTTCGCACAAACTGATACTGGCGGGGCCAGTAAAAGTCTCGACTTACCGTGAGATATGTTTTCTCTCGGCCACGATGTCCTCCTATAGGAGCATCGTGATACTCGAACATGATCCGCAAACGCAGATCAATATCATCTGAAATGACAACACGTGGTGTGTCACCAGAAACGGCTGTATAATACAGTAAACCGTTACGAGCAGTGTATCGATCTGATGCAGATCGATACGCAGACGACAATCGTTTCAACGATTCTCGAGATGGTTGGGAGAGATGTGTCAACAACTTCACTATCTCACCATCTTGGGCGTATGCCCGCCTCACATCATCATACAACGTTGTAGATGGGACTGAGGACGTCATAACCGCAACAGTGACTGTCTCACTGTTGGGTTTCGCGACTGTTTTAAAGTCGGGACGACGTGAGAGTGCATCAGCGACGACATTAAGTCGTCCTGGTTTGTACTCGACCGTAAAGTTGTATTCTGCAAAGAATGACAACCACCGCGCCATTCGTTGTGAAAGGTGCGGGCTGTTCACTGCCGTGCGTAAGGACGCATGGTCAGTGTAAACAACGAAGGGTCTATCTCCTAATAGATAGACTCTGAACTTCGCGAGTGCATACTTCATGGAAAGGAGTTCCTTGTCATGCACTGGATAGTTCCGCTCAGCTGGTTGCAGCTGACGCGACTGATAGCAGACGACGCGTTCAACGCCTTCAAGATCGTACTGCATTAATGCACAGCCGATTGCGAAATCGCTGGCATCACAGACCACATGAAATGGCCTGTCCTGATCGGCAATTGCTAGGACTGGGGATTATATCAAGCTCTGCTTGATACCCTCAAAGGAGCGTTGACATTCAGCGTTCCATAAAAACCTCTCGTTCTTTTCAACAAACGAGAGAGGTGTACAGTAATCTCGGCGTAATTGCGTGAATACTTGTGCAAATACGCCGCTAGCCCAAGGAATTTTCGAAGACCTTTGACATCAACCGGCACAGGCCAGTCGGTGATCGCCTTGATCTTTTCGGGATCAGGACGTACACCGTTCTTACCAACGATGCACCCAAGAAGTGGTATTTCGCTTGCTGCAAATATACACTTCTTGGAGGTTAGCATACAATTGATGCTTTCGCATGATTGTAAGAACTTGTCGGACGTGGTACCTGTGAACCTCAACGTCCGACTTTCCATCCGTAGCTCGACTATGGATGAATACATCATCGAAATAATCGGCGCGAATTCTCGTACTGGTCTCAACAGATGTGATACACATCTGTTGAACGTGGCAGGGGCATTACTGAGCCCTTGTGGCATAACTAGCCATTCCCAGAGCATGCCGCTAGGCGTGCTAACTGCGGTATAGGGTATATCCCGTTCCCGCATAAGGATTGGATAGAAGCCATCCATCAAATCCATGGACGAAAAGATGGTACTCTTTGACATACCATCAATGATTACGTCCTTCCTCGGTATCGGCGTCTGAGCCGGTACCGTTGCAGCGTTCAATTTGTTGAACGCGTGCACTATCCGCCACCCTCCTGTTGCTTTTCGCACACAGAAGGTCGGAGAGCTATGTGGGGAAGTTGATTCCCTCACATGGCCCGCAGCTAAGCGATCGGCAAAGAATTTGTCGATCGCAAGTACTTGTTCACGAGGCAGTGGCCACTGCTTCATGACACAGTACTTCGAGCCTGGTTTAAGCTCGACCTCGTGTCGAATACCTTTATCCTTCGGTAATTCGCACGGAACAGTTTCAGGGAATACATCCTTGAATTCAACCAAATCTTCATAGAGAGGATTTTTCTTGAGCGATTCCCATGATTGGGAGTCATATCGCTCAATTCGTGTCTTTTCATCTAGGACACTCTCGTCCATAGATGAACTACTGAGAACTCTCTCGTTCTCAGTGAACACTGTTGCTGACCTTATGTCGGTTACACACTCGTCGTCAGCGACGAGTACGCAGATCTGCTTGACTTTGCCACTACGCAGATCACGCAAGAACCTTTTATGTTCGAGCGTTGGCAACTGAGTGATCTCCGAAGTTAACTTCGGAGGCGCAATCAGATCAAGTGTATAAGCGCCTACACTTGATCCGTTATTGACTATGACATTCAATGTCTCTGTCATTTCCTGGGGACTTATTCCCTCAGGCTTCGAAGGACTTATTCCTTCGTCTTCCCGGGGACTTATTCCCGCGGGTTTAGGGGAACTTATTTCCGCCGTATTTGTAATCTTGGGATTTATTCCCTTTACTTCCTCTAGATGGGGTTGCGCAACCACAGCGAGATCCTCTACGAAAGACTCTCCAGTCGATCTAGGATTATCGTTTCGCTTAACCTGAGCGATCGATTGTTTCTCTTCTAGATGTTCCCCGCTAGGGATACATCATTGTTTCGGTCCACTCGACTTATTCGAGTGGTGGACCTTCGGCGCAGCCTGTGTTTCCTCACAGCCGCCGGAACTTTGCTCCGAAGTGTAACCGTTTGGTACACTAAGGTTTCGTGCAGTCGTACTAACGACCGTACCACAAGTGAGGCCATCGCACTCACCCGTAGTACATCCACACGCTTGTGGACGCTCCAAAACGTTCATCAGATGGCCATCTGATGAACAAGCGGCAGGCATCGTTACTGTCCGATGTTGCCAGTTTACTCGTGGTTCGTAACTTCTGAGCCACGGTATTCCAAGGATGACATCAAATTTGTCATCCAGATCCAATACGATAAAGTCATCGTCATATTGGGTATCTTCTAGCGTATAGTGGATCTTCACTATACGCTTCATGACGGTTACGGATGCGCCTGTCTCAAGACGTACCGTCATCCTCGTAGGAGGTGTGTCACATTCACTAAACTTGAAGTGACCATCTTCTAGCGATTGGCGTCGCACAAAATTGTTGGAAGCCCCACAATCGACTAGAGCTCGAAGGGACAACTTATTCGTCACTTCGAGTTTCAAGGTAATGAGTGAGACCTCATTACCTAGAGCAGCAACGCACAACGTTTGTGTGTTGGGAGCAACTTTTATCAAGAGGCCTACAAATTCTCTTGACGTTGCTAGACCAGTAGGGTGCTCCGCACCTACTGATCCTGTCCGTTTTTTGACGGTCCATCCCGTTGTTGCGTCTTTGCACCAACAGCGGACCCTCGTCCCTGCCCCTTTCTCATGGGTGGACGGTCACTACGCCCAGTGTCGCGAGACACTGGACGAGGGGCACTACACTCGTAAGCGTAGTGTCCTGTCTTTTGACATCTGTTGCATCTCTGCAACTTCTTGTAGCCTGTAGAGCGAGCCTTCTCGCTCTCTACATAACAGAGTTCCATCGGCTCTGGACCTCCGTTGTCATATCGTCTCGGTTGACGATATGATGTCGAGCTGGCGCGAGCCTGTCTCAGACTGAAGTCTTCCTGCTCCGCAATGGAAATGGCTTGTTCTATTGAATCTAGTTCAAGCCGGAACAGGTGAGTCTTGACGGGACCATCCGCAAGACCCTGCATGAACACCGAAACCAACGTGTGTTCATCCACCGGGTTAGAATTTATGCAACTCGTGAGATGTCGTATATGTTGAGCGTAAGCGTGCACATCACGCTTACCTTGTCTGAGCTTCAAGAGTTCAGTTCGAGCTCTGAACTCAGCTCTAGGCGGTGCCCAAGTCTCGGCACGTCCTGCCTGATTTGACTGGGCAAATGCAGCTTGCATTTCCCCATCGTCGATGCGACGCGCCCTTATGGCGTCATCCAATTCGACGAACCATCTCAAGAGGGAGTCCTCATCGACCCCCCTATACTTGGAGATGTCAATCTTCAAGGTCTCGGGTCGACGCGAGTGCATCGACCCACCAGCAGCAGCCTGCTGCTGTCTCAACAGTTCAAACTGTTGAGCACCTTGTTCTCTCAACAACTCTGCTTGTTGAGAACCTTGTTGGTGAAGCAAGGCTACTTTCTCGCGTTCAGCGTCAAGTTCATTTTGAATGAACTTGGCGATAGTAGCATGTTGGGCATCTCTATTGAGAGCCTCTAGCATGACGCTAACAGCATGGATGCCCATAGTCGAACCCATTCGTTCAACCGCATCCCATTCGACATTGCTCAAATGGGAGTAGCCGTCACGCGTAGCGTGAAAGCTTTGGTCATCTTCATCATCTAACATATTCATGTTAGATGTGAACGTGGTCCATGGACGGACTACGAAGTGCTACCAGGTGTAACGGGGCACCCTGAAGCATGTACTGGTGACAGTACAAGCTACTTATTCTGATGACAGAATAAGGCGGTGCCTCGTAACTTCACGTACACTCGTACGTGCAGAGGAAGACGGTAAGAAGAAGCGAGTACTTAGTTTAAGTAAAAAGTAGAACTGTATTTAGTATAGTTAATGTCTGCAATAAATCACTATTTATCTTCATCTAACTATGTCTAAATACAAATGTGTAAATTGATTATCTGCTCACCACTCATTGCGTGCGTCTGTCGTGGCGCGTCTTCGTTGGTTGATATAATGGCCTATATCAACCAATTAGGAACTATTCGTAAGTGCTACAGAATATTTGTCCTTATGACAATATTCTGAGAATATAACTCTTATAGTTATATTCTATTAACAATTTCTTACAAATTGTTATGTAACGATTCACCCCGTTACACCAGGTATACCTTTCTCAAGACCGATACATCTTTATCTTTGTCTAAGTCTACCGAATAGTGAAACATTCCAGTAGTTGAGTTTACAAGGCGATTCAAGGTCTATGCGCGGAATTTGGGTTCCCTTTACCGTAAGTCGGCAGTACAGCGCGTTGAGTGTGTTAGACGCTCAACACGCAGTTTTGATGATTTACTCCACCACAATGGTCAAAGGCTATCTGTCGCAATGGTGTCTTCATAAAGGCGATGTAATTTTGGTGTAATACACAAGAAGAACTTCAATCAGGAATGTTCGATTATTAGGTTTTTTTAAAGATAAATATGAAATTAAGGTTTACTATCGATAATCATTATGATACATAGTTTTTCTTTTAATCAGCTTCATACACGTGCCTTTAGGACGTCTCTGGTTGTAAGTTTTAAGTGCCGAAGTTAAGGTAAAGTACTCTCGGGCATCAGTGCCACGTGATTCCTTGGAGTCGTAATCCATGTAATCAGAAATAGAAGCTTAAGTGCTTGTACATACACCTAGAGTTTTTTCTCGATCTCAGTGGCATATAAAGCTTGCTCAAATTAATTTATACACATCATGAATCACATGTCGCTGGCCGCACTTCGTTGTTTACGGCGTTACCGAGCAGAATCATCCCCGTCATGTTCTCTCGTACGTATTTTGAAATGTCAACAGCATAAATGAGTAGCTTTAATGCACAACAATCGGTCAGAATTTTCACTGTTAAGCACACAACACACAACCCATTACGTAGCTTTCAGTCACCCTGAACGTTTGAGTGAACATACATTATTTGATCCACTTTTACAGAATCAAATTCTTGTATATTTATCAAAGGGCGAGCTTTAGTTCTTTCTCCTCCATCTTGCATCAGGTTTTAAATTGGCCCTATAGTAATCGATAGTATGAATTGCGTTGGTTGATCTTTTGGTAGTATGTTTTGGCTAATCCCGGATCTAATCTAACTTAAACATCTAGCTTGAAAGGGAATCGTTCATCGTTAAAGTGTATGGAACTGTAGCAGCAGCAATATCTTACAGGTTGGATACGAGATTGTGTAATGAATTGAGTAAACAGAGGGCAATAGGTGTCAAGTATATACATTTTAGATCAATGTGATCTCACGACAGATAAGACAACTGTGGATGCGTGCCCGAAATCACCGCAATCCTGTTAAGATTTCCAAATGATTCATCCACCGATCCCCACAACCATCAAGTCAAACATCGACCAGATTCCTTTTGTAATAATGTATCCTACTCCACCAACGGGAACAAAAGGTGAGAAAGGTACGATGTTTACGCACGGTATCAAATGCCCCGTCTGATGGTTAAATTCCGGGTGCCAGTGGATAGTAAAGGTATCATCACGTGATGACCAAACGCTTCTTTGCTATATTGGTTTGGACGCTTGTATCTTCGGATGATTCGAAATTTCATCATTAGATCCTCAAAAAAAACGATAAGATCAAGGAAGAACAAGTGATTAAGGCGCCAGTGGCAGACAGATAGCCGTAATTGTGGGATTGTGGAAAAACGCCGGACTTTGTGAGCTTTGGCTTGGACTAAGCACATCAAGATAAAAATCAAGACATTGATCGAAAAGAAATAACGTATCCCCTTTTGAGGCCCGTCCGGGATACCTAGAGCTCGCGCCAGAAAGAGAGACTATTTAGATAGAAATATGAAGGTAGGAACCAAAGATCACATTTACAAACAATTATGTCAACACGACAAAAAAATGTAGCGTTACAAAACGGTGATGCAACCCTAGGATCAAGTCTGATGCGGTCATGTACCTAAATGTGTAAACGGTGGAACACATCCTGTTAAACGAGATGTATCACTCGAATTTCGTAAGGTTAATGCAGAAAAATGATGCATTATTCAACATTCGAATATTTGGTGGAGATAGTAAAAGAAACTTTAATCAAATGACCGGTCCGTAAAGTGGTGAAAAATAAGTTTACGGGATTGATAAATCAACCGGTATTTAGCCTAACGTGTAGCTTCGAACCATTTGGAAGCCTCACTGGATGGCAATCAAAACTCAATGAATAAAGTAGATGCGGCTATATCAGAACCCCGTTCAGCACGGGATTGTTGCAATACGTCAGCGGATGCCGTACTGGAATTAGGAAAATCGATCAGCACTCAACAGGTGTCACAAGGGACATGTAATGGGGAACCCTGAAGCTTGTACTGGTGACAGTACAAGCTACTTATTCTGATGACAGAATAAGGCGGTGCCTCGGAACTTCACGTACACTCGTACGTGCAGAGGAAGACGGTAAGAAGAAGCGAGTACTTAGTTTAAGTAAAAAGTAGAACTGTATTTATCATAGTTAATGTCTGTTAATAAATCACTATTTATCCCCATCTAACTATGTCTGAATACAAATGTGTATACCAACTATCTGCTCACCACTCATTGAGTGTGTCTGTCGTGGCGCGTCTTCGTTGGTTGATATAATGGCCTATATCAACCAATTAGGAACTACTCGTAAGTGCTACAGAATATTTGTCCTTATGACAATATTCTGGGAATATAACTCTTATAGTTATATTCTATTAACAATTTCTTATAAATTGTTATGTAACGATTCACCCCGTTACATCACCCCCCCTTAACCATCAGTCACTTTAGTGACTGATCGACTAAATGGATACTCGTCCCAAATCATTTGGGACAGGGTTTGCACTTGTTGGTCCGCGTCCACTTTCCAACATCTCATCGCATGGTAAACAAGCCCATGCGATGCGCGAGCAAGGCCGCCGAGAACTCGTCCGCACGTCTCTGTGCGGACGCCGAAGCAGAAACCGCAGCAACTGATGTCTCATCGATTGCTGAAGCGACTCAGCCTGTGCCACCTAATGATGCAGGCGCTGGTCATGAAGACACTCATGTCTTCACAGAGTATGAGCTCGGTGTCTCATACTCTCCCGATACGGAAGAGGGATCCGTATTGAAGGTGATTGAAACCAAGCCGCCTGCCAAGCGTGGCATGGATGATGCGTTGCGTCGCAGCATCTTTGGTTCATCTGATGCATCAGATGAACCATCGCCGAAGCGAAGGCGCTCGAGGTCGCGAGACTCGGGCGCTCACAGTGGTGTCGGTTCTCCTATTGAAACCACTTCGCAACGAGGTGCTAGTCCTTGTGTCGGCACGTCGCAGGAAGAGCGGGACCGCAATGTCTTGCGTCTCGCTCCAGAAAAGAAGGCATGGATGCCTCCAAAATCCGTCATGGATCGCTTGTCGGCGACGACGAGTGATCGTTATCGAACACGATTGTTCGATTCGTCAAGGATCCATCACCTTGACCCCAGTGCGAAAAACTATCGCGCTGAGAATGAGTTTTTCATCGATGCTTTCTTTAAACATCGATGGTACAGTGGGAATCACAAGCGTGATGGTCCCTCACTGCTTCAAGCGTGGAACGCTTACATCCATAACCTTGAGGATGTAGGTCGTGACGCTTGGAACAACAAACTTATCAAAGCTCGTGATAAGTTTGAAAAGCGAACCCCGACAGGTGCACGCTACAAGCTGCATCTTCTGTCAAGGGAGAAAGGATTACCCTGCCTCTCATGGGGAGACTCGTGCCCATGTTGTGTGAACAACTCTGCACGAGCACCTAAGGAGGCTTACCTCCTTACCAGTCCGTGGTGGCGCGTACGTATCTCTAGTGAGATGTACGAAGGGATTGACAATCTGAAATCCCTTTACGACCGTGCCGGGAAGACTTTCTCCAGCGGTCCTTCTGCGGCACAGGATGTGCCGCGTCGTACTGCTCAACCAGACCCAGTACGTCAACCAGCAGTTGGGAGCGGGGCTCCCAAGTATCCCAGGACGGGGGATAGCCGCGCCACCGGACGAGATAACTCGTCTGACGTCTGTTCACGTCGCGGTGGTTCAACAGCTGCTCAACCAGATAGCGCTGGCCACCGCAAGAGTCCTCTAATGGAGGTGGAGGAGGAGGAAAGACGCTCTCCACACGATCGTGAGGAAGCGTGTGTTCCCGAGAGCTTCTTTGATCGCGTAACGCAAGGGTTACGCGGCGATCTCGAGCATGAGCGGGACAGGCGTCTCCAACTGGCGGACACTGTCTCGAAGCATCGAGCTAAGTTTGCCTTTGCTCAGCTTGAGAACGAGAGAGCTCTGACATCTCTTCGTGACGAGCTAAGGGTAGCTCGTGGGATTGCTGATCGGTCTCGGGATGAGATAGCTGCTCTTCATACCCTTGTCGATGCCCACCATCGGGAGCACAAGGCTCTCTGCGAGATGCTTGAGCGCAAGGGCGTTCTTCATCGGAAGAAGCAGCGTACTGATGGTACGGCTTAAGCCGACCAACGTAAAACGTGGAATGCGTTCGCATCTTACGTGGCAATTCGATCTTGTTTGCATTGCCTAGGCGGTGCAATACACGAAATGGGCCGATGTACTTGGGTAGAAGTTCACTGCTACCCACGTAAGTCACTACATGCTTTGGTAGATTAACCGT